TGGCTAAGCAATTTGCACTATCAACTAGAAGTTTCGATAAATTCCAAGAAAAGGAGGCCTTTTCCGGGATATTACCCAAGGGAATTCCCCGAAACATAATTCTAAGAGTATTTTTAAAACTCCAAGAAACTTTTTTTTCTTTCCATTCTTCTTTAAATTCGTCAGTGGAAAACGCGAATGGTTTTTCTGAGAACATGATATTGACTCCTTTTCACGGTTAACACAGCAATTCACCTGAACATCGAAATGATTTCTTCGGAGTTTTTCTTGGTGATTTGTTCATCTTTATGGATTGGAGTGAAACTTACTATATTTTTCAAGAAACGTTTCCGGTGGAGAGAACACTGTTTTGCCTGTTTAAGTTTGGATAGCGCGATTCTTCTCATAATCGCTGCGCAGTTTTTGCTGCCGATGATAACAGCAAGATTGGATAGCGCGAATCTTATTCCCATAATCGCTGCGCAGTTTTTGTTGCCGAAAGTTTGGTTATTGCAGATGATAACAGCAGTGACAGCTATGGTCTTGGCTATCAAGGACATGTATTTGATGATGAAAAATAAACGGGAATTAGTCAAGTCCTTGGTGCTTGGTGCCTGCATAATTATATCCTGGGAGAGTGAACGGGGATCATGCATTTTGCCCTTATCTTCCGTGTTTTTTGCGCTAACTCAGTTCCTGCGATGGCCAAGGTGGCTGAAAGATTTCCTCAGTGAAGTGAGAATCGTCTGTGGCCCTGCCTTTCCCATTTCCGTCTTCGCAACATGGTTGAAACAGAGCGAACCCTCTGGCTCGTCATCCTGTGTTCTCGTTGCTGTACTCTGTTCCTCGGTAGCCGCCATCTTTTTTCGCCCCGACAACTCTGAAGTTTTGGTCTTGTTTCATCTGCCAGTCCCCAGCTCGAGGAACAGGAAAGTTTGTCATGCAATATTGATGTTTTTCAGTCTCCTTTGTTTGACAGTGCATATTCCTTGCATTTACAGTAAACCTGCTTCTATTGTGGTGGTCATACTGTGCGTGTGTCTCTTTTTTGGCGCCACTGACACTGCGCACCGCGCGTATCACCGTGACCGTGACTGACAATAACGATAACTTTACAATTGATGGGTAAGCACTTCTGTTAAAACCTCGGGAAAATCCCTGGCTGCGGGGATCAGTACCGGAATCTGTTAGGCCTACTCTGGGACCTCAAGTCGCCATAATTTTAGGCGACTTGGGGCGATTTAAGGCGACTTTAGGAAAATTTGGTCAAAATGTTGTGCGACTTAAGGCGATTTAAGGCGACCTTAGGCGATTTAAGGAAAAAAAGGTGACATTTAGGTGAATTATATGTTGGTGAATATGTTGCAGCTAATTTTTTATTTCAGTTAATTTTTGGTTTTCCCTGCTTTAAATTCATTAGCATACATAATCATACCCAGAAACAATGGAAAAATAAAAATTAACTGCAACAAAAATTAACTACAACATATGCAAAATTCAAATAATAATAATAAATCCCTAGCTACCTCTCTAGGGACACAATGTCATAGCATAAGTTAATTCAGTCTTGAAGACATCTACATTAGTCTTCCAAATTTTCAACAATCTCAGCTTACCTAATATTTTGAACATTAAATATCACTGGTAACTTGCGTTGCAGATGTATTCTCACCCTGGTAAGTAACATTTGCGAAGCAGCACTAACATCCTTGTTCTGGGCCCCAACGTACTCAACGAATTACCAGCATTCTGAGTTTCCCTTCAACATGTTTGGCAAATTGACAATGGCATTTTTAACAGTCCAGTCCTGGCAGGTACTCAAATTCTGATACACACACGGGGGAACCAGAACTAGGATTTTACCGCTGTTTTGCCGACGGACTGAACCCAGAGTTTAGTTCCATCTGTGGCACAGGCTAATATCAAGGGTGTTGGTTTAGTATTACATTTGCAGAGACAAAATCTGAGTTAGAAGAAACCAAAATGGTAAATTCTCTCTTAGCCTTTAAAATGCATTATTTTACAATATAAGGGACAAAACATCAATGGTTCATGCATTTCTTTTTCCAAAAAATAAAACCCTAAAAGTGCAGTATTTCAGTACATCTCTGTAAAATACTGTAAGCTGGTTTTTAGCAAAAACTTTATATTGAAGTGTCTTTTTTTCATAATTTTAAGTAATTAATTTAAAACATCAAAATCACTTATCGATATCGCACATTATGGAAATGACGATCCCCATTGTATGTCTTCGCAGTTGCTCTGCAAAGAGGGTGTTTTTCCAATTGAATTCAAAATATAAAGTTGGTAGTTCTCGCCGTATATATTGCTCCTTTCCTGTCTCAGTCAAACAAAACACTTCCAAATACTTGCTTCGCCGGTGAACCATACTCTCTTTCTATGGTCCGTTTGGAAACTTTCCAGTCGTGTTGATTTCATGAGTGCATTTATACACCAGCAGAAACAACTAAGCTTTGCTTCAGCAAACCTCGCTCTGCTCCACGTAGCCTGAGATCATGCCCTCTCCCTATTATCCCTTTATGTCTCTCACGGGAAGAGGGCATGATACATTTCTTTGTCGAATCACATGTAAAAATGCCAGAATCTGGACTTTTTTCTGATTGGATAGGAAACAATGCGGATGATTTGCGCTGTTCCGATTGGCCAAAATGACGCCATCCGTTAGTTGTTGTTGATTTCAGTCTGCATTTTTGCTTGCGTAATAAGCAGTGAATACACACGCGAGTTCGTTATAAATGAAATTTCTGCCCGCTCAGTTTTCTTGAATTTGAAGAATGCCTGAATAGAAGTTTCATCCATTGAAATATTGACCAGCTCATCGTATACCAAAACAGTTGTAGTTAAAACTTCACCGATCATTTGAATGCAATTTGATACCGGCAACAAGTTACAGAAGAGACAAACGGGTTCACTTTTCAAATAATCAATTCATGAATGGAATCTTGACCTGGTTTGACTGTATTTCCTCCTTCAGAAATCATGCTGCGAATTATCCTGAGCGATCTTCGCTTTCACAACACCTTTCAGTCCATGAAATATGGTGCTTCAGCCTAATTTTTTTTCCACTGCTTTCGTAGTACAGAACGAAGTCAACGAGCTTTAACCAGTAAATTCTTTGTTATTTGTAGCTATTCACAAAGGTACGACAGCTCCAGAGTATTTCATCACAAAAACAACACATTAATTTTTTTTTATTATTTTTTGCGAAGCGCCATCTGAACACGGACGTACTTAAAAAAATTTTTTTCCCCTAAAACTGATCATGATTTCAAAAGAGACATTATTCGCGCCAAAATTTGGTTCCCGTTTGGTAAACGCTTATTGGCTAAAAACATGACAGGTCAAGCAAACGGTAGATCATGTAAATTAGGGGGCGGTTGACTGCTTGTTAAATAAATGTATCAGGCGTTATTTTTTTTCCCCCTCGAGCCAAAGAAGCAAAAAAAAAAAAAAAAAAAAGACGCCTGATCTCAGGTTATGCTCCACGCGGCCGCATTTACACTCTCAGCCCAAAAGGAAACATTATGCGTCATGTTTAAACCAATGGCAGTGCCAAGTGTAAACGTTTCCATTATTATCTCAGAAATTTCCATTTAAAAGGAGATTTTCAAACGAAAACGCAACGTACAATTGACAACAACAAGAGCACATTTCTATTTGCCATTTTGCTTCTCCCAGAATTCCACTACAGTCGCAAGCTAATTTCCATTGTTTCTCGGTCCCGCCCTCTCTTGGTCGGTAATTTACATGGACATTTTTTTGATAGACTTTAGGCTTGTTTGCCCTACTTACCAGAAAATTTAGATTAATGTTGTGGCGGCAATAATTGTTTTATCTTTTGTTTTTTGTTTTTTTTCTCCCTGCGACCTACCTGTTTTGATCTTAGTTACTCGGAATGTCTTTCAATAGTGGACTCTCACAAAGCACTACCCTGAAAGCCATTTTGACTAGCCCCAATTTTTTTATGAATGGGATTGATTACAGTTCGTCTGAATCTGAATTCCCTAGAAAATTTTACTTGCCAGCCAGGCAAGTTAAAAATGGAGTCACCAGCTCAATAATAAAATCCAGTACCCCAGGGTTGTTGCCTGGACACTACTCTGTCTACTCTCTTTGCACGCTGTTTAATATAATTTGGCTAGAACTTGAACCTTTGAATGCCTTTTAGCGACACTTTTACTCGGAAATACGAGACAAACCTCCCCGATGAAATTATTAAAATATCTGTACAAGTGTCATTTTTGCATAAACAATACAGGAATGATTATTCTTGTATTGCTTTCAACTAATTATTATGTGTATTAAATTGCCTAAAGTAATTCAATGTATAAATTAGAGGGCTGGATAAGAAGTTAATGGGTCTTAAGTCACTCTGAGAGTTTTTTGGTGTTGGGGGGATCTGAAATATTGTCGGCTAATATTATTGAACATGGGTTATCACACAATTTATGAGAAATCATCCATTCTGGAAATAGAAAACTAAAAAAGTAATAACTACGGGACAATTTGAACCTCTTTAAGATTTTAATGATTTAAAGTGACTTGAAGCGACTAAAGGCGACCTAAGGCGACTTTAGGCGACTTAAGGCGGTTTTAGGCGACTTAAGGCGACTTAAGGCGACTTTAGGCGACTTAATGTCCCAGAGTAGGCCTTCCGTTAAAGGGAATTATCTTCGGAGACATCAACAGCACTCAGAACTAATAAAATAAATAGGTCCAACGATATCGTTTTAATCCAAGAACATAACCAGAATGCAACCGTAACATATAACCAAAGAATATTTTACAAGGGACGAATATTTAAGCCGAAAACACAACTCTAAAGGATTATTTAAAGCTATTTAGAATTCTTAACTAAATATTATCTCATACATTTCAGAAGGCTCGATTGGCTATAACGGAATTCATCGTTTACAACATTATAACTTTCAAACCAATACAGGTAGATAACAGTTCAACAAAAGACTATCGCAGTTAGTAATTACAGTTCAACGCTTTATATAGAATAAAGTTAATGATTTGATTTTCTCCTCTCACAATCCAAACAATCAACTAATAAACACCGGAAATAATGCATCTGATTTTCTTGGAAAGCGGGTGTTTTCGGAGAAAAATAATGACGCAATCAAATCGTTTTCAACTGCCGTCTTTTTTCTAAGAAAACGAAGTCGCCATCGGCAAAGACAGAGGTCATGTTTGCCATCCAAAGAATGAAAGAAAAAGAAAGGTTTTTCTTTCGGCTTTTAACTGATTTTAGTTAAACATGTAGAATTTGGAGCAAGATTATCCAACCCCAGATGGTTTGTTTGCGAAAGGTGTTTGCTTACCAGCCTTCTTAGCTATAACTGGCTGTCAATAAAACTGCTTATTCTTTTCAACAATGCATGGCTAAGCAGTTTGCACCAACAACTAGAAGTTTCGATAAATTCCAAGAAAAGGAGACCTTTTCCGGGATGTTACCGGAGGGAATTTTCCAAAACATTTAAAACTTTAAAATGAATCAGCAATATATATATATTTAGCCAAGCCTAAAAGCGGAGCTCCAAAATTATTTTTTCCATTTATTTCTAGTCTGCTTATCGTATGACCAATGGAACGAAAACGAGAGTGATTTTGAGTATATTATCCCTTATTTCGAGTTATCTTATTTACGTTTTGTATTAGTTAAAATATAAAACCGGACCAGAAATCACAAAGACTTTCGGTCCGGTCTACCGGGAACGGAAGTCACTATGTCAATCAATCAATCAATCAATCAATTTATTTACTTCAATATGTGGGATAGGGGTTGCCCCGATTATCCGAGCCAGAGGCTCATGTATAAAACGAGTGACAATAAAAATACTTGGTTAATAAAGATACAATACAATTGAATAAAAAATAATTTTAAAAGATCAAATATATCCGTTAATGCTCAAAGCTACACCCTCCCGTATCCCACTAAATAAATTAAAAACTAAAAACCGTAAGAATAAGTTTAAACCCCTATGGGAAAAAAACAGATATAGTAAAACCCCAAGACATACAAGAATTTCATTTACAATTGGCCCTCAAGATTGTAAGATTAAAAGATCTAAAGTGCTTACCATATTCACTCAACTCAGTCGATCTCTTAATGTAAGAAGGAAGTTGATTCCACAAATGCGAAGCCTTGTAAGTGAAAGAATTGTGATAATATCGATTATTATAGGATGGCTGAATGAGATACATACGAGTTTCGAATAAATCAGAAATATAGTCAGGCCCATTTCCTTTTAGTTATACATTTAAAAAGGAGGACCAGAGATTGATAGTATCGTCTATGTTCCAGTGATTGCATGTTTACAGCAGACAATATGGAACCATAATCTAAGCTGTTTCCGAAATAATAAGGTCCTTCCGTCCGAGATGGCGGGGCGAGTTATCTTCGGATTGTATACATGGACAGTATTAATGTTTGGTGCTAATCAAACCTTGGGAATTGCGTTGAATGAGTCGAACACTTAAGGAAAATCTCCAATTCAGTAGCGGCGATAACAGGAGATAATGTTGGCGTTACACCGATTTGTTTGATCGAATGAAACGTTAAGTTCAAGCCACATTTTAATACACAAGATCATACGTATGCTTGCTGTGAAGGTAAGTTATCACCTTAAATACAATGATTTTACGCTATTATCTCAATCAACCAGTCACAGCGCTTCTACAACGTGTGAAGTGTTTTAAATTATTTAGAGCTTATTAATTAGTGCATAGCACAGGCCGTCCAGTTAGGGGGGTGTACCGAAAATGCTATAGACATTCTTGATATTGTTTACAATTTAACGCTTCTTTTTCCATGTTACTGCCTTTGCTTTAAGACCGTCGGCTTAGTCTTTGATGGATTTTTTTTGGTCGTCGACTTAAGGCTTCTTTTTCCATGTTACTGCCTTTGGTCTACCCCCGTCAGGTTTAGGCTGTGATGGATTTTTGGTGGTTGTCGACTTAAAGTTTCTTTTTAAGTGTTGCTGCCTTTGGTTTAAGGCCGTCGGGTTTAGCTTTGATGGATTTTCTTTGTTTCCTCCTCTCGCCCTCATGGCCTCTGAGTCAATAGCCCATGCGGACGAAGACCGAATGTGCTATTCACTCAGAGCCCATTCGGGCTCGAGGAATAATTGTTAGTTAGTATAAAACAGTGGATAGCGTTTTTCACGCGCTCCGGTTGGCTGCTCAAACTAGGGAAATCCAGTGCTATTTACCTCAGAGCGAAGCCAAACTCGCGTTAGCTACGAGCAAAATGGCTTTCAGATTAGCTACTGTACCAAACGAAGAAATTTCACAAATAAACAAAGAAGCTGTTCATGACAACAAAATAATGTGTGCTTTGGATAGCTATAAAAACCTAGCTGTAAAACAAATCAATTACTTAGAATGTGGCTTGTGCATGCTGCAGGCCCCTTGTGGTACATAACAAAATTTTAAGTCTAAATTCAGTACTCTCCAAATGTCTATTGTAAAAGGTAAAATTTATTTCGATCGTTT